CTGAATGCAAACCACACTAGATGAAAATAGTAAAAATGTTGAAACTTTGGTCACCAAATAATCTGAGTCTACGGGACTATCAGGTGTGAAAACAACCACACTCTCGATTTGTGGGGCACAGACACAGAAAAAAGAAATCTGCACAGGTCAGGATCTGCTCACCCTGCATAGTAGGAGCGTCTCTATACTCACTGCAGTGAGTGTGATATGGAAAAAAAACGGTTCAGAGGTTACAAAGTCTCGGGCTTGACCTGATCTAAAGGCACAACACAAACAAATCTGTGAATGTGTTCCTATATTGACAAATTCTGATACAAGTTAAAAACACAAATCTCTTCCTAAAATATCAACTGACTAATGTATCGGTCTGTTTCTAGAAGAAAATTCACTTCCTGTTATGTCAGCCTCTAGAATTATTCATAAAATATTCCAAATCAGTTTCTTATTTTCTGTTCAGACAATTGGAGATGACATTGACTAACACTAACGTGACAGTGACATCAGCAGGGTTGCCAGATGTCACTGACTCACGTTTTCCAGCTCAAAAAATGTTCATTAGCCGCCTGGATATCCAAAGTTTCGCCCAATTTGAACCAAAGTCTATTGATCTCTTAGGCCATAAATCTAAAGAAAAACATTCTTAACCCTAGACGGCCATCCCAAACTGCCAGATTGGGAAACATCCCAACCTGGCAACAATACACGTAAGATGGGAAACGTTAGCCTTTAGATGGAAAACCCCATCATGCACCGCAACATATTTTTTCAAAATATTCAAACATAAATTCTCCAAATATAAGAGGAACATTTTAGTTTGGTTTAAAGAAAGCATTTTAGTTTTATTATAATTTAGTTTATTGCAAAGATTTTACAGTTTGAAGAAATAGAACATTACACCATATGCCAACCGTCATAAGGATGTGCATGATGAGGAAGGGCTATATATACTGCATGCATCATTTAGGTAGGTAACATTGTATTACTTCTTGAGCTCCTTGAGTTATTTAGTGTCACAGGTAGGTGCTTCGGCCAGAGAGTAAGTGTTGAGGCCCGTATGATTTAATTGCATGCTGAAATGCCCGGTATCACAGATTCCCACTGCGGGCCTGCTTAAGTCCATTTATTTTTCCCCTTTTCTCAGAAACAGGAGATGTGAAACTAAAGTTCATTTCCTGCAGAACTGTAGAGCAATCTGTAGAGCAATCTGGTCAAACTTTTTAAACCCTGCCTGTTTAGAAAAAAGTCAATTAATGATTTACCTCACCTTAGATTTCATGATCGCTTTGTTGTGTCTTTACAGAACAATTCGGGTTTGGTTGAAGAGAGACAGCGGTCAGTACTGGCCAAGTGTTTACCACACCATGCAATGTAAGTCTTCCTGCCTTTAAATATGTTTGCAATTGTTTTTGTGTCATTTTAATGCAGATTGTTTCTCTTTGAGTGATTGTTATGAAAACTACATAACATTTTTTAAGTTATCAGATTGTCTGTATAGTAGCAGCGCTACACATTTGTGACAGTTTGGCTTTGTTTTCCTGCAGCTGAGTAACTGAAGGAAATCGAAGGCCACAATCAGCAAGATCTGCCTCTGACAATAGCAGAGGTTGCAAATGTGAAGCATTTTTAGCAGTTGACTGAAATAGGGATAAATGAAACGAAACAGCTCACATTTACAGAACAGATTCAAAATCTGATGACGCTTTGTTGGAAAAATGAACCGAAACTAATAACATTAAGATATTCCCTGTTAATAAAGAGCATTATTTGTTATAAAACATCCAATCTGTATGTATTTATTTGCTATAAGCCAGCTAAAACTATCTTGGATTAACTGATTCATGTGAAATATCCTGGATTTAAAGGATTTTAATATGTTGATAGAATAAATCAACGTGTTTCTTTGGTTTTTAAAAGGATTTTCATGGTGCTGTGCAGTGTTTATATAGGAAATATGGAGCAAGATAAAAAAAAAAAGTTTTTTTGTTTATTAAGAATTAAGAATTTGTTTTACACCTTATTATTACACAGCTATCACAAAATTGCATTTAGACTTTATAAAAGTAGAGCTATACTTAAAATGTGTTATTTTCAGTAGCATCTAATGGTCAGGCTGCTGACTAGATAATGTATAACATTTATGTCAGTAAATCCCTGTAATTATTACACACGGTGTCTATAAGGGTGAAAATAGCTTCTAAAACCCTTGTTTTAAAGCAGTAATGTATAACATTTAGCTACTAGGGGTGCTAGACTTCTAACTGTCACTTAAAGCAACAGGAAACTTTGCATCCTCCCAAATTAAACAGTCTCCCTCCATGTTTTGGAATTTGATAGCAGACAAAGTCAAAAGTTCCTCAATTTTGCTTTAATAGGTCAAAGAAAGTCCGTTTTGGGGGGAGTGATAATAATATAATGCACAGAGTCTTAGAGTTTTTGGCATTTCATCATTTTTTGTTAATTTTTTTAATCATTTTTTGTTCAGCCGTCCTTTTATGTATACTTCTAAATACAATCCAGCACCTAATCAGTTAAATGAGTACCTGTTTGTGATTAGATGTTGGGATGAATGCAACATTAGGGAACAAAACAAGAAAGGAAAATGGAAGACAGGACAGGGAAAAATTGTGGAGAAATTTAGAGAAGAAGTGAGATGTAATGAATCTCAAGCTTCCCTCATCCTACAGAGCGTCATTTCATCCTTCCAGTAAAAATGGAAGAACTACGACCCCTTTAAACCTTATAGGACTGACCTGAAAAAGAAGGAATCTCATCAGAGAGGCAGCTATTAGCCCAGTTACCCTGGAGGAGCTGTGGAGATTCACCGGTCAGACTGGACCGTACCTTAAACCTTCTTAAATTTTTCCTACACTCTACAAATCGAACCTTTAATGAAGACTTTAAAGAAAGAATTAAGAAGAGAAAACATGCAGAAGAATGTTTTCTGATCAGACGAAACCGTCACATATATTGAAAACTACCCAGACCACACCATCCCTTCTGCGAGGCATGGTGGTGGCAGCATGTTGCACATAGATGGACATAGATGGAATTAAAAAAGAGCATGAAAAATAGAAAAAATTTTTTTTTTTTTCACTAAATCAATATATAGCTACACAATATGCAACATACTATATACCTTAAGCTTCACGGGTGTAACAAGTGGAAATGTTCAAGGTACGTGTGCAGATTTTGTCGTTTTGTTTTTAATCCAAAAGCTCACATATATAATCTGATACATGAAATCGCTCAGACATCTTTGCGCTACGGCAGCGCAGAGCCAACAAACTAGCAATTGCGAGATGGCCCATTACGCTCGAAAGTAACTACGGCAAGTTGTTTAAGTCTACATGAAATCTATACCCTACACAGACTAATGAAATACTATCTGTAAAATTATCTATGTAAACAAACCTCAT